TTCTGTTGTTTGTTTAGAACTGAGTCTTAATCATACCTGCAGACTCGCAAGAGGTCAAAAAGGAGACATAGTTCACCCTTGTAAGAGGGTCTGTGGGCATCCCACCCAGAAGAAAATTTTTGAGAATTTAACATGTAAATGAAGCGTTCTGGTGCACTCTGACAACAAAATAAAGGAAAAAGACAACATATGCTTCAAGTAAAAAAAGCACATTTATACCACAAACTTTTTGGACAGTGCAGCTCTGTTGACATCGGTGTTCATACTTCTCTTTGTGAGCAGTGGAGTAATTTAATTTAGCAAATTTTAATGTTCACATTAGAGTGCGCATACTCTCAACAAACTCCATCTTTTCACTGCAGAGGAAACAGAAGCTGCATCTGTGGCATTAGATGTATTTACACAGACTGTTTGATGAAGCTGAGGTGCACCAGTAGAAGACGGTACATTTTTAGACGAAGAATGGTTAGAATGGTCACAGACAAACCACAGACCACCTCCAAAGAGCTCCAAGAACATCTTGCTGCTTAATGAACGAGACATTAGTCATTCATTCAAAGACGTGTACGTTTTTGTGACCACTTTCTTTATGAATGGGTTACTGAATCATTGACTCACTTTATTCGTTCAAAAACGTGGATTCATTCAGTATCGAAACACTTGTTCGGTGACACAAAACAGTTCTGCTGTGGCTTTGATTGAAACTTTGTCAGCGAACTTGAGCAAAAACGGTCAATATTGTATTACAAATTGCGAACTTTGTATCTGTTTAACTCACAATGAAGAACTTCCACGCCAACGACATGTTTACATGTGGATGTGAGCGTAAGAGTGCCGTCAAAACGGACCGGCTGTGAGATGAGGTGTGTTCGATTTGAAGCAGCAGAGCGCAGACCGATCGGACATCAAAGTACCGCGAGAGCGATTCGAAAGTGCTGTGATGTCATACAGCGATCGGTCTGCACATTGCTGCTTCAAGTCGAACTGAAAAAGGGACTTTGGTCGAACAAATCCCTGTCTACGGGTCTACACACCCAAATCTCTCTTTCTCTCTCTGCCCAGAACCCCCCCCAAAAAAACTCTTCGGATCTAGACGATTCACATAAATTGCATATTTTGATTCAAAATATTTGCTGAAAAGCCACTAGTTTGCAGGTATGGTTAATAACCTTTTTTTCAACATCTTTCTTCCATTTTCAAATCTACAGCAGAATGAAATCCAATTCACCCCTATTAGCCCACTGTTTGTACACATATTAGTAGGGTTGGGTATTGTTTTAATTTTATAGATTCCTATTCTTATCGATTCCTAGTTTCGATTCCAATAAGACAAAAAAATCCAATATAAAAAAAAATTAAGTCAAACATTTAGATGTCAAACATTTATTCTGTCTTTTTACAAAGCATTCTGTTGCAGCTGAATAACACGGGCAAAAATCAGCAGCCTACAGAACACTGAAAGAGGAATTTTGCCTATGCTTTAAAAAAAAAACTAGATTAATATAAATTTCAAATATTAAAGCGTTAAAGACAAGTAAACAGTCAGTAATAAGATAGGAACAAACAAATCAATTAGCAATATCATAAATAAATACAACTGAACAAAATTTCAGGTACAGAAACTGTAATTAAAAGTTTAAAAACACTGCATAGTTTTCTTTTCATAAAATATAGATTAATCAATTAAAGTTATTAAATATATTCAGTCAAGATCAGTGAATGATTTTCTTTTGTT